GGGGGGGGAGGAGAAAGACAGAATGAGGCCAGGTGGGTGACAAACACCTGAATCCCAGCTCCTGGAAGGCTGTCAGGAGGATCTGGAGTTTCAGGCCGGTAAGGGGAACATAGTGAGAAATGTCACAAAAATAAGAGTGGTTAGAGTTATTTTTAGGAAACCTTTGTAAAAAGAATCACTGATAACGCTTAGGAGACAGAGGCAGGTAGATCTCTGTGAATTCAGCCTGGTCTAGAGAGTTCCAGCACAGCTAGGACTACACAGGGAGACTGTATCAAATAAATAGACAGATAAATAAATAATCAGTGATAATTGAGGTCTGACTTAGAGACAACAGTGGATGTGATGTTTTTAAAAAAGTTTTTAGGTTTTTTTTTTTTTACATGTATGAATGTTTTGCATGAATATATGTATGTGTACTGCATATGTGCCTGGTAGCTGCAGAGACCAGAAAAAGGTGTCAGATTCCCTGGAACTGGAGTTACATACAGTTCTGAACTGTCTTGTGGGCACTGGGAACGAAGTGCAAGAGCAGCGAGTGCTTCTAACTGCTGAGCCTTGAATTAGGCAGGAGTAACAGTGCAATCAGAAACAATGGCCCTGGCTGTTTGGCTACAGGAATAATGCCTCTCCATCCTCTGCACCGTGGCCAGGGTTTACTTCCACAGACAATTGTGAGCCACTGGGAGTAATGATGTAATGGTCATACAAAGTCTCTGAACTTTTTCAGACACAATCATTTGTGTTAGTGTAAGCTGAGGGAGCCCAACCTACTTGTAATCATCAGACTTTCAGATGCACCTTCAACCATTTCCCAGTAAGATTCCAAGCTTTTGTTGTTAAAGTTGTTTTTAAGACATTTTTGTCATTCAGGTGGTGGTGGCACATGCCTTTAATCCCAGCACGAGGGAGGCAGAGGCAGGTGGATCTCTGAGTTCCCGACCAGCCTGGTCAGGAAGACAGCTGGTCTCCAGGACAGCCAGGACTACACAGAGAAACCCTGTCTCAAAAAACAAACAAAACAAAAGGACATTTTTATCTTAAAAAGAAGGCTCGACTTGAATTTAGGTATTTGGATTTTTCCTCTTGGTCTCCCAACTGTTCAAATGACAGTATGGTACCACGCCCGACCCTAGTCCAAGCTCTTGATGGGGATTCTCACTGAAATTTTGAAACAAGACCTTCCTGCCCAGAGAAAAACACAGCTAAGGCCAAGACAGACAGAGTTACCAGGCTTCAGGTTTCATGTTGTGTGCCAATAATCCCAGCACTTGAGAAGTAGAGGTAAAAGGATCATGAGTTCAAAGTCACCCTCTCTTAAATAGCCAGTTCAAAGCCAGCTGGGTTACTTGAGACACCATCTCAAAAAAGAAAAAAAAAAAAGAAGAAAGAAAGAAAGAAAGAAAGAAAGAAAGAAAGAAAGAAAGAAAGAAAATGTTGCTGAATAAATTTCATGCTCTATGCTTCTGTATTTGTTTAATCATGCCATAGAGGACACCACACAGCTAGCTATCTTTGAGGTATTTCTGACTACCAGAACTTTCAACACCTGAGCAATTTGTTCTTGAACTATTAATTTGAAAAAGGTCTACCTATAAGGGCTGGCAAGGCTGTTCCGTGAGAGTTTGAGTCCCCAGGACCCATGCGGTGGAAAGAGAGAAACCGCTGTATAATTCTGTAAGTTGCTGTCTGACTTCCACGCTCACGCTGTAGCACAGGTGTGTATGCACCCCCCACCAGAGGAACAAACATTAAAAGAAAAGAAAAGAAAAAAGAAAAGAAAAGAAAAAAGATGATCTCAAGAACTTCATCACTAACTGCATGGTTTGGAGTTGATCAATTCTAGAGTCCACATGAACATTTATCAATTATGCCTTAGTCCTTTTGTTGAAAATTGTATTTATGTGTGTGTGTTTGTGTGTGTGTGAATGTGTATACAACAGCATGTATGGAACTCAGAAGACAACTTTTAGGAGTTGCTTCTCTCCTCCCACAGTGCAGATCCAGGGGACAGACCTCAGGTCCTTAGGCTTGGTGGCAAGCATCTTTACTACCTCTCCAGTCCCTCTGTTTTGGTCCTTAAGTGTCTGTTGGAAAACAAGGTCACACTGAACTGGAAAAGGAAGTTCTGGGTAAGCGAAGGCAAATGCATTGCACTTACTTTGTTGTCATCTCCAAATTTGATCATTTCATGAGCAAAGTCGTCAGTAGGCTTGATGCGGACAAACGCTTGAACCTTTTTCCTAGTAGTACCCATTCTAGCTAAAGAGAGAACAACAATATTTTTAGTAGCCAACAGCAAATACCAGTTAGAGGGGAGAGGTCATTCATCAGGATAAGAATAAAAGCCTGGGGCCGGAGAGATGGCTCAGAGGTTAAGGGCACTGGCTGCTCTTCCAGAGGTCCTGAGTTCAATTCCCAACAGCCACATGGTGGCTCACAACCATCTATAATGAGATCTGGTTCCCTCTTCTGGTGTGCAGGTGTACATGCAGGCAGAATACTGTATAAATAATAAATAATTATCCATTGCCAAACTATCTGATTTAAAAGAAGAGGAGGAGGAGGAGGAGCCTGGCAGGGTAGTACTTACTTATAACCCTATTATTTGGGAGGGCAAGGCAGGTGGATCAGAGTTCAAGGCCAGCCTCAGCTCCACTGTGAGTTGGAGCACAGCTTGGGCTACAAGAGACCGGTTGTAACCACTGTCACTGCCCTACAAGGGCATGCACTTCTGTCTTTCTGCTGCTTTGCCACTTTCCACCATGACTCCAAAGAGACTGAAATCCAAAGCAAAAAGACTGCTCCATTTTAGTGCCATTTAGCTGCCTTTTCTAGAAATGTCCTATACCTAAGATGACTCCATTCATGCTTTGCTTCATTTATTCCATTTTCTCCTGACATACTTGCCTGGAACACATTAAAGCCAGCTGCCTTTTCTTCTTTGGCAGACCGTCTTTCATACCTGTCTCCATCATACTAATAGAGCAGAACAGATAAGTATCTTTAAAAGATATATGTATGTACTATTATTACTGGAGATGAGGGACACCTGCCTCAGCATGCAGTAGCAGCCAAAGGACACCTTGTGGCGTCAGTTCTCTCCTGAAACCATGTGGGTTCTGGGGTCAGACTTGGGTCATCAGGCTTGCAAGGCAAGGACTTTTCTTGCTGAGCCATCTTGCTGGCCCTAGATTAAGTATTCTTTCTTTTTTTTTCAGTTTGTTTTATTTTTATTTGTGTGTGTCTGTGTCACATGCCACATGCGTGCAAGTGCCCTTGGAGGCCAGAAGAGTGTCTGATCTTCTGGAACTGAGGATCCAGGAAGAAATGAGCTGCCTAACATGGGTGCTGAGAAGAGCAATACGCACTCTTAAGCACCGAATCATCTCTCAAGCCACTAATTACATATTCTGTATCTAGTCCATAATCAAATATTGGTCTCCAGCTTGTGTTTTGAAGTAGTGTCTGTCATTGAACCTGGAGCTCACCATTTTGGCTATATTTGCTGGCCAGAGAGCCCACAGGATGCACCTGTCTCTGCTCTAGCATGAACAGCTTTTATGCAGGACCTAGGAATCCAAACTCAGTTCTTCATGCATGAATCAGCAAGGACTTTACCCAGTGAGACATCTCAGAGCCCTAAGACAGGCCCTTCCTAAGAGCCAGATGTGGTGGCAGCTCTTTGCCTGCTTAAAATCCCAGCACTTGGGAGGCGGAGGCATGAAGATCAGAAGTTCAACGTCATTCTCAGCTATACAGTGAGTTCAAGGCCAGTCTGGAATAAACAAGGCCCTGTCTCAAAAAAGAAAAACCCATTTGAAACTACTTCCCACCCCCATCCCCAAAACAGGGTTTATCTTTGTAGCCCGGCTTGTCCTGGAATTCACTTTGTAAACCAGGCTGACCTTGAACCAGGCTGCCTCCTGCCTTTCTCCAGTGCTGGGACTAAAGCTGCCACCACCACCTGGCTTTTTGGAACTATTGTACTTTTTGTACTATTGTACAATATACAAAACAAAATTTAGATAAAGAAAAGGTCCACAAAGCAGGATGTAGGCTGCATTGTACATTTATTCCCCTTTTAATTGCCCCATGAGGGTTCAGAAGGAATAAAGTATTTGCCACCAAAGTAACCTGTACTTTTAAAGGGGGAGGAGAAAGGGAAGAAATAGGGGAGGAAAAACAAGCATATATCAGCAAAAGAACTGGCTGAATTTATAAAAAGATAGGGAAATGTCAGACAAAGGAAGTTGATTCAATCTCCTAACATACTGAAGGGATGTTCAATGTTTGGCACCTTTACAGAAAAACATCCTCACGTGAAACAGAACCTCTTCTAATATTTACTAAAATCATATAAGAGGACAAGTGTGGTGGCACATGCCTTTAATCCCAGCTCTCTGAAGGTACAGACCTTCAGATCTATGAGTTTGGCCTATGTATCGAGTTTCAGGCCAGCCAAGGCTACACAGTGAAACCCTGTGTCAAACAAACAAGCTAAAACAGGCATAAAAGGGCCAAGAAGATGACTCAGGTAAAGGTACCTGCCACAAAACTTGATGACCTGCGTTTGATCCCAGGCCCCACATGGTGAAAGAAAAGACCCAATTCCCCCCAGTGATCCCCTGGCATCTACTCACCCACTTTGGTACACAGGGACACACACACTCTTCATCAACTATAGTAAAAATACTGAAAGTGCTTAAAATAAATAGTAACATTTTACATGTGCTCTTCCAGTAGAGGTGCAATGACGCTGCCTGACAAAAAACGATTCTAGCTTTTGAAAGTATCAATGGCTTTCACATCTATAGGCACAACTTGGGGTCATTTCCTCCTACAAATACATTAGCTATCATCACCATGGTGTTAAGTATCCTACAGAAACAAGCCAAATCGAAGCAGGTGCTGCTCTTCCAGCTTACAGTTTCAGTGATGTGGATAAATGAAAACACCACCCATTATATGCACTTCAGATGTCAAATCAAGTAAGCAAAGACAGTACTCCTGTGGGGTGGAGATCTCTACATTCCTCAAGTCACTATTTCATAGAAGTCTTTTCCTAGCATTCTTGGATCTTTCAGAATATTTTATTTTTGGAAAATTAATCTGAAAAATATTGGGGTAAGACAGAACATTTTTGTCTGTAAAACAGAACTCTAGAAAAAAAAAAATCACACATAGCTCTAACGTGAGCCCCAAACTGAGAAAACTGAAGAGAAGATTTCATTTCCAAATTCACTTTGATTTATGTTTCTGAGAAATTAAGAGTATAGATAAGTGGGTTTGTTATTCATCACTTTTAAAAATGTTTTTCTTGAGATAGGGTGTCACTGTATAGCCAAGGCTGGCTTTGAACTCACAATCCTCTTGCCTTATCTTCCAAAGTGTTGGGATGGCACCTCCTGATGAGAGGTGTGCTCTTTACTCAATACTCAATTTCTTTTTATTTTATTGATGTATTTATTATGTATACAGTGTTCTGCCTGCCTGTATGCCTGCAGGCCAGAAGAGGGAACCAAATCTCATTATAGATGGTTGTAAGCCACCATGTGGTATCTGGGAATTGAATTCAGGACCTCTGGAAGAGCAGCCAGTGTTCTTAACCTCTGAGCCATCCCTCCAGCCCTCAATGCTCAATTTCTACAGCTCTGGGAAACCAACCCCAACACCAACCTCAAGAGCCCATCTTCCTTCCCAGGGAGTTTACAGTGCCATTGAGTATAACCTCTGGAAGGGATCCCAAAGAATCCAGGGAGTTCTGGAAGTAGGTTCACAGGTCAGCTCAAAGCTTTCTCCAGAGCATTCCTCCTTTCTGCTCTAACATTTCCAACATGCACATGCAGTCAGCCACCTGTTCTTCCCAAGGTCCTCCTGATGCTCATGTCGCCAAGCCTTCCTGAAGTCATATGTAACCTGTGATAAACCTTTTCAATGATCTCCACTCCTCCCACGAGCCCTCTACTCAATAGCGCATCGAAATCACATGCCATTTTGCACTTACTGAAATCCTGCTTGTTACCGTTTTTATGCCACTTCATTTATGTGGGCTTCAGCTCCCAAATCAAATTACAAGCTGCTTGAGGACAAGGACCGTGCCTTTTATTGCTTGTGATTCCCCCCACAAGGTCCAGAACAGCGCCCAGCACACAGCAGGTGCTCAAGAAATGATGGTTGGTGGTGATACTCATGGCTGGGAGTCAGAGGGTGACTGAATCTCCATAGGTGGGTCCATCTTCAGTCACTACTGAGAGAGTTCCAAGGCATATGATATCACTCCTCTCCCGTACTACTCTAACCCCCGAACTTGCAGCCTTCTTGAGAGGACACTTGACTCCAGGTACAAGAAGCCATGTTCAGTTTCAACACGACCTCCCATTAGGTAGTGTTCTTTTCCCTCAGATTTTTGGATGGGATACCCTCAGTCATTTGAACACAATCCTTAGATACTTCTCATGTGATAAAGTGAACCAGGAGACCTCTGCTCTGAGAGAGAGAGTTTGTTTGGGGCTTGGGAATGAGCAGAATATACATCAGCACCATGAAGGCTTGACAAGAGGTGAAAGAACACTCTATGGGATGAGTGACGATTTTCCTATCTGCCACGCTCTTACCTAGATCAGGGACAAAGACAAAGGCTGCCCAAGAACCAACAGCATCTAAACTTAGAACACAGGGTCCTATTGTATCACACCATGAGATGAACCCAAAATTGGCATCCAGGCAAAACCGGCCACTCTGTTATTTCTCACCCAATGTTTGGAAACCTTCTCTAAAGAGTGTGTCAGGCGGCTTCGGTCCCATTCCTGTCCCCCTTTGCAGGACTTTCCCCCCCCCTGCAGCTCGAACCGCTCGAAATGATGACACCGAAAGTTTCTCCAGTTTGAAAACTGATGAAGTGTCTGAACGACCCCTGACAGACACTCAATCTCATACCCTCTCTGTCTAGGGCAAATCGTGGGACTAGGGAACATTCGTTCAGAAAATACTCGCTCCTCTAAGCTTCGAGAAGGCTGAAAGGCTGAAAGGGGCACAGCGATAACACACTCTCCAGGGGGTGCCTTGGTTTTTACAAATAAAGGAGCCGAGAGGAGTTTGGAACTCAGCCACTGCCAGCAGCCAGGGCGGATATCCCCACCAGGTTTCCCTTTTACCTAACCCCACCGGCGCGTGACCACGTCTCACCTCGCAAGGCAGCGGCGCTTGGATAGAGAGACCGCTATAACTGCAGCGACTTGATGGAGCCCAGTATGCAAGCAGGACAGCCAGCGATCCGCTGTGTACAGAGTCGCCATGGCAACGGGAAGCTTCCAGGGATTCCGGAAGTAGAGCGGGTTGGTAGCGGAATTGAAGTCCACATTTCTCCGAAGATACAGGTAAAGTCAGGGCTGAACGAAGAAGACAGAGATGGAGTCAGTTAACCTGGAAGAATTAGAGTAGCTGTATATGCGGAGACGGGGTTTAGGTTGTGGGGAAAAGAAGGATCTGTATGAACCATGAAGCGGGACAGAGAGACTTCCGGTGCAGAGGACTTCGCGAGTACGGCGGCCGCGCAGGCCTGTGGGATTCCGGCTTCGCTCTCCGCGCTGCCGTCAGCGTGTGCCCTTGCCCCGCCCTGGTTAGTGTGAAGCCCGCCGGCCAGGCCTGCGCAGTTGCAGCGGCCGGGGAAGATGGTGGAGGACGGTGCGGAGGAGCTGGAGGACTTGGTGCATTTCTCCGTGTCGGAGTTGCCTAGTCGTGGCTACGGCGTCATGGAAGAGATCCGGCGGCAGGGCAAGCTATGCGACGTGACGCTCAAGGTACCGTGGGCTGGGCGGTGGCTGGCTGAGGGGAAAGGCACTGAGCGGGAAGGACAGACGGGTGGTGGACAGCGTTAGAGTGGTCCAGCGGACTTTGGGTGGAGAAGGGTTAGAGAGGAACAGAGTAGGCGAGAGAGCCGTGCCAAGCGCGGAGGGGGATTGAGGTCAAGTTGGAAGAGAAGAGGGGACAGCCGTTCAGCCATTGGAAGGAAAGATTGAGAGGTGTGCCGCTGACGCCTGAGAGCAGGAGGCATTGGGGTATCCGCCTCCTTTTCTGTCACACAGACAAGAGAAAATGTTCTTACAGCAGTCTATGGAGGAAGGGGCGGTGGCTGAACGCCGCATTCCGATGGGCACCAATAAAACATCCTATCTTGTCATAAAGTCATTTCTTTGTGCTCCTTGAAGTTGGCTGTGATATTGTAAATGCTAAGCGTTCTCTTCTGGAGTCATTGGTCGCCCTTGACGCTCTTAGAATCGGGTCTGGAAATCTTTTGATGTGGACCACTCTGCTCCACACTGGAAAACAATCTTCCGTCACCACCTTAAAAGGTTCTGGAGGCCAGGCTAATAGACTGCTTGGTGAGAGGGATATATTCGCCACCTGTTCCCTGCCGGGATTCTGGTCTGGTGTCAAGGGCCAGTCTCCTGTGCCTTGAGTCATGCTAGGATGCCTCTTGAGAGCACTGCCGAGCCAGGTGGATTCTCTCCGGGTGGGAGATGCTGGTTGCCTGTAGTTTTTCCTGTTGGACCTTGCCTGGAAGGCGCTTAGTGCCTCTGCGTGACACTCCCTCTTCCTGTTTCAAAACAACAGAATCATACAGACGCTTACTAGCGTTTCTTTTCTACTTGCTTCTCTACATATTGGAGCCAGTAGTAGGAAGGTTTCAGGGTGGTGGTGGCACTCGGGAGGCAGAGGCAGTCGAGGTCAGCCTGGTCTACAAAGGGAGTCCAGGACAGCCAGGGCTAAAAGGGGTGGGGGGAGGATGGTTAAAATAACAGATAAATTCACATTAGAATACCAGCTATAACTTTGGGCAAGTTACTTATCTCTCTAAGCTTAATTTTCCAAATGTGAAAATAAAAATTCTTAAATCTCTCCGTTAGTAAAAATTAGATGAGATATGTTGTATTCCCTGTCTAACACCTGTCATAACCTTTTCATCAGTCTATTAGAAGTAGTGACATGGTCTGAGAAGGGGCAGGTAAGAGAGGGAAACCCAGAGGATTAAGAAAAATGACCTGGACAAAAGGATACCGAAGGTGGCAAGGCCGGTAGAGATTTGGAAGCAGAAGAATGCTCTAGTTGTGGCAGTAACATTTGGGATGAGCCGAGACCAGTGAAAAGCAGTGACAAGAAAGTTTTAGGTTAAGATTTAGGCCGTATACTAGTGATAGGCTGATTGGGTAAAGGCACTTGCTGCCAAGCCTGATGACGCGAGTTCGATCCCGGGGACCCACATAGTGGAAGGAGAGAACTCAGGGTGTGCTGTAGCATGCGTGCATGTACACACACACACACACACACACACACACACACAAAATAGATAAATAAAAATGTTTCTTTTTAGATATTTAGGCTGTAGAGGTGAACCAGTGGAAGAAGAAGAAACATGAGAGTGATCACAGATGCTTACTGCCATAACACAGCACATTTTTGCTTCTGCATTCAGCAAACATGCTGAAAATACCAAACCTAGAGCAGAAATTGCTTGTCTGATTTTTTTCCATGAAAATGTTTTCTCTTCAGTCAATTCTGTCATTCAAACATCAGTCCAGCTGAGAGTGCTAGCCTCAGTTACTTTATTAGCGTCCGTTCAGGGTTCTATGGACCTATATAAAGGTGTAGGTTGGAACTAGACAGGACTATAGATAGCTTTTATTTCATTGCTTCTCAAACTCTCTTTGGTAAAATCTCGGGAAAGCTCAGTGGTGATGGGAGCCACAGAAGGGCCAAGCTCACCGGCTCTGCATTTCACTATCCACAACAGCTGCTCTGCAGAATCTGTCTCGGTTTCTCATAATTTAGTCTTTCCTCAAACTTTGGGCAAGCCCAGACTGTTTTTTTAAATAAGCAGGCTCTAAAAGAGCCGGTTAGAGGCTTTTTGGCATGTGGTGACTTAGTAACTAGCGGCCCCCATTTTAGGGAAATGGCTCTCAAACTTCCGTGGATATGAGAATCACCTGGTGGCCTTGAGCCACCCTGAGTGCTCACCCTGGAATTTCTGATTCATAGGTCTGGCATGGGCCCTTTCGAGTTCACCAGTGATGCTATCTTCATCTAGAAGCACATTCCGAGAACCGAGAACCATGGCTATAGAATGAAGGACTTGTCCTTTCAGGATATATTCTGAATCAGTGACTCTTTGTATTCACTGATGCCCTCGTTACCCAAGTCTGGAGTCACGAGATCATCCTGTTCAGTGTAAACTACCTGTTTTTTGTGAGGGTAGTGACAGAGCAGTCGCTTGCCTGGTAGAGGGAACTAGTACTGCCTGTTTTGGGCTCCTCCTCATGACACACATACCATGGAGACTAGTGTTGCTAGTGCTTGGAGTTGGAGGCTGCTCTGCAGGTGCTTCACCTCTGTGTTGCTCAGAATTCGCTAAATGAGGCACTAACTTGTCTGGTTCCCATCTTATAGTCATTTGTTGGCGTTTCTAATGGCATGGCATTTCTGAGCAGAATTTTCCTTGGGGACTTTGCTGTTCTTGATGACCTGAGAGGCAGTGTGGCACAGACTCTAACTGGACCTGAATCCTGGCTCTGCCACTTCATAGCTGACAAAACTTAAATTCCTTAAATGGTAGTGAGTCAGTTCATTCCTCTACAAATGGACGTCATAACCTGCCTGAGTACTAAGGTTTCAATTAGTTAATAAACTTCAAACTTCATGTAATACATGCTCAGTGGATAGTAGATTTTTGTATTTTATTTATTTATTGTGTGTGTTATTTTTTGTTTGTGTTTTTTTTTTTTTTTCTTCAAGACAGGGCTTCTCTGTGTAGTCCTGGTTGTCCTGGAACTCACTCTGTAGACCAGGCTGGCCTCCAACTCAGAGATCCACCTGTCTCTGCCTCCAAATGCTGGTATTAAAGATGTACACCACCACTACCCAGCTATATTTTTTGTTTTTATGTGTTGGATGTTTTCTCCTGCATGTACAGATATCTACCACTTGTGTGCCTAGTGCCCTTAGAGACCAAAGTGGACATTGGATCCCTTGGAAGTAGAACTAACAGATGCTGTGAGCTGCTGGGAATCGAACCTGAGTCTTCTGGAAGCACAGCCAGTGCTGTGGATCACAGAGACATCTCTCTAACTCTCAGCAATAACGTTTAAAGAGATACCATCTTAATGTGTTGAGCAGGTTGGCCCTGAACTCTTGTGCTCGAGTGATCTTCTTGGTCTTGTTTCCTAAGTAGCTGGAACTGTAGGTGTATGCTTACATCTGACACTAATAATAGTTTAATGATGTTTCCAAAGAAAGTATAAATCAATGTATGTGTTCCATTTCTAGGGTTTTGTCTTATTTTGTTTGTGTTTGTTTTTTTGAAACAAGAGTCTCACCATGTAGCCTTGCCTTTCCTGGAACTTACTTTGTAGACCAGGCTGGCCTTAAACTCACACTGATCAGCCTGTCTCTGCCTCCCAAGTACTGGGATTAAAGGTGGGTGCCACTGTGCCCAGTTATTTGTGTTTGCTTTTTGAGACAGGTCTTGGGTATTCTGAGTTTGCCTTGGGTTTTTCTTGTAAGGAGAATGACCTTGAACTTATGATCATGCCCCGCCACATTTGGTCTAGTGTGCAGTTTTGAATTTATCTTAGTTTATTTGCAGTCCACTGCTCTACTTTAGTAGCTTGCATATAAACAGTTGAAACCAAACCTGGAAAGAGCTGGTTCAAGGTCACAGGCTGAATCAGGCAAAAGTAGGGTTAGACTTGTAGTTCCCATAAGTCTTCTGTTACTGACAGAGTCTGAGCTTGTTCCAGTTACTCCGCTGTGACTTTGACATAAGCTGCTCCAGCTCAGCTCACTCATCCTTACCTATGCCCCTCTTTCCTCTTTCCCCTTTCCCCGAGGAAGAGAGCGAACACTCACAGGCTCCTCACCTCCTCAGCATTCACTGCTGATACTTGAACGTAGACTCATTTCTCCTCTTGGAAATATTTAAATTGCTTGGGAGCCTGTGGATGCTTGAGTAGGAGTGTGACAGAGAAGAGTAATATAAATAGGGTTTATATTACATTTTAGCAAGGTGTAGTGGTATGTACTTTTAATCTCAGCCCTCTGGCTACAGATGCTGATGGGTGCCTGAGGTTTTCAGGCCAGAGCTACATAGTGAGACCCTGTCTCGAAGTTAATTAATTGGTTAATGAAAAATGTAATTTTAAAACCTTTTTATTTGTAAAAACTTGAATTTTGGTGTGGGGCTAGTTGGTTTTTTTGAGACGGGGTTTGTCTGTGTAGCCTTGGCTGTCCTGAACTCAGATTTTGTAGACCATGTTATCCTCAAACTCACAGAGATCCACCTGCCTCTGCCTCCTGAGTACTGGGATTAAAGGCATGCACAACCATGCTGGGCAGTGTTTTTTTGTTTTGTTTTTTTTTTTTTTCTATTTCCCCCTCAACTTGCATACTCCTTTTTTCTGTATTTGTGAAGAAAGAATGGGAGAATATCACCAAGCCTACATATTTAGTATTCACAGACTTGTAAGCTGGAGAGAGGGGAGGGCTCTGTATCTGTGTGAT